CCCCATTTCACAGATGGAGCAAGAGAGGCCACACTGTCCCTCTGTCAACCAGACGAGGTGTGGAAAGGGCAGGGATCTCCTTTACACATCTGTGTTGTGTCTGTGCAAGAGCGTTTTCTTATCCCAAGATGCTCTATGAGTCCCTTCCAGGTTACTCAAAAGTCAAGAATCGGTAAGTATGCAAACATGACAGCTCTGCCGCTTTGCAGATTTCTAGTGCTTATCTATTTTTTTCCTGATAGAAAGGGTGGTTGGTGTTACCTGGACGAGAAGGGCAGTGCACTGAGCCTTAGAGAGGCTCATGCATGTCAGACCAGAGAGACGGAAGCTTGGACAGGCAGAGGGCACTGGGCTGAGATGGGGCAGGAGTGCACCACAGCTGGACAGACCCGTGCATGCAGGGGCAGAATCCTTGCCTGCAGGGGTCTCCATGTACGGTTATTTGTTGTGAGCTAGCAAACTCAGCGATGTAACAGGGATGGACAGGAAAGGAAGAGGGAAGTGGGGGAGAGACACGGAGATGAGCCCTGGGTTGGGGGAAAGAGAAGGCCAGCAGCCCTCCACGGGGCCCTACAATCTGTCCTGCGTCCCCACAGTGAAGTGGTCACTCAGCCTCAAAGTCAGTGTGGATAAGGTATCAGCCCATGAGAGAAGAATGATTTGAGATTTGTTTCCATCTGTCTTTCCTAAGTCAAGCAGGAGGGACCACCTTCTCCCACAAAGGTGAACTCAAGGGCACAGGACATTTAGCTGGTTGAATCGTTGCCCTTGCCTGATGCATGTTCATGCTGATCACCTGAATGTCCTGCGTGCGATCCTCTCTTCCTCCCTGTGCGAGGGCCATTTCGCCCCCAGGCATCTGAAAGCCTTCAGCATGGATGTGGGTCCCTTCCTTGTTAGATGCAGGGTGTGGGACACGTTGTCTAACTTGCCATGCTTCTCAATGAGCGAGGGCATGGAACACCCAAGACTGGGACATGGGTCAAGCCATGAAATCGGTGATGATTTTTATGGCAACAATAGGAATTCCACAACCTCGGTGCCCCTCCCTGCAGGGCCCCGAGACGTCCATCATCGTCTGGACGAACATGGCTTTCGCAGTGAGACGCAACCCATCCTAACAGTGATGCCACAGGATAGTCCACCGCCCAAGGTCATCTCGAGTTGGTAATGCACACCCTGCACTCAGACGTAATGGCAGTCATTTGTATTTGCGTATTGCTCAAAACCCCACAGCTTCTAGACACAGGGTCACACAGGCAGGTGCCAAGGCATAAGCTGAGGTGTGGACTCCTGTTTACAGGGGAAGAGGTCAAGGCCTTGAGAGGTCAACTGGTTTCCCTGCACAGGTCCAAACAGATGGAAAGTAAGGGGTCAGATGTGAGCTGGGTTTCCTAATGACAACTCAACACAGAGATGACCCTATGGGAAGAAGACCCTCTGCAGCAGTTACTGCACCTGCCTGTGAGCAGAACCAGGTGCTGAGAAGTTCAAACACAGGCTCCAAGGTGCCAGCTCTCAGGAGCTTGCCTGGGGCCCAAGACCACCTCCAAACACATCAGGTGAAATGAGAAACACCTCCGGCCGCCCAGCCTGGACCCGGCCTCCTCCTCACCTCCTCACGCCCCCCCCCCCCGTTCAGCAGACCCAGCCCCTCCCAACCCACCTTTGCTCTTGGCACATGCCCCTGCTTTGCATTCGCTCCTGCCTGTCCAGTGTCCCCAAGATGCGGCAGTGCTAGGTCTTTCTCAGCGCTCCCATTTCAAACCCATGGTCACCTCCTCCTAGAGACCCTCCTGCCCCACTTCCTACATCAGCTCTCTTCGCCTCTCCCAGTCCCCGGAGCTGCTCCCTTCTGTTCCTTCCTGTAGGAATCCCACAGGCTGGTTGAAGTGGTTGATTTCTGCATTTGCCTGTGGTCCAGTGCACCCTCCATATTAGGAAACAAGCTCCTCATGGTCTGGGATCTTGTGCCTCTGTCACCTCCCAAAGCTTCAGCACATAAAAGATACTCGGAATAACGCCTGTCAAAATGAGCAAGATGCAGGTGCTCACACGAGGCCCTGGGGCAGGACAGGTGAGGGGAAGGTGGCCTGCAGGGGTCTGCAGTCAATGACAGGTCCAGCCTTCAGCACCCTCACTCACCAGCTCTGCGTGGCCCCAGTAATCTGCTTGATCTCTCTGGAGCTCTCACCTCCCATAACTAAGTGGCAGTGTTCATGGTGCCTCGCTTTCAGAAGTGCCATGAGACACAGAGTCACTCCTGTGGTGCACCTTGCACAGAGACAGGCCCACAGAAAAGGACCAGTGCAACCTGACCACACCTTCCACTCCTGTGAACTAGGCCCCACCTCCCACGACCTCCACCACCTCCCAAGACCTCCAACACCTCCCACGACCTCCGCCACCTCCCAAGACCTCCAACACCTCCCACAGTCCACACAGCTGGGAATCCCTGTGTGGATTAATCCTCTGATGAGGTTGGAACCCCCATGATCCACTCATTTCCCAAGGGCACTGCCTGTGTTCATTGCTGCACTAGGGACCGACCCTTCCCCACAAGAGTCTTCGGAGGACCCTTCCTACCCAAACCATAACACCATGTGACCTTTGGTGGGTGTGGGCAGAGCAGCCGATCTCAGGCCTGGGTGAGATTCTAGGAGGAACCACAGTTCCATTCCCTCTGCCTTCGCCTGTGAGCACCCAAGAGCTGGCCTGGGTCACCCCAGGCCCTCAGCTCCCCAGTGACCCAGCACAAGGTCACACAGACCAGAACATAGAGCACTTCTGTCCCCCAGGGAGTTGCTCATGCCCTGTTCAACAAACAGCCAACCCTCAAAAGCCTTTTCTGACTCCTACCTCTTCCTGTCAACTTTGATTGTCTTAAAAATCTTAGAAACAGAGCTGTAGGGTATTCACAGAAGGATGGCGCTTCTCTTTGACCTAAGGGTCAAGATTTAGGTAGAAAATACTACAAATCCCTGAGTTTCAATTGTCCCCGAGGAGCATCTCTGAATTGGAGCAGTTTTGGAGTTGCTTTCTCCTCTCAATCTCCTGCTCTGTCTGTTCTTGATGGTAAAGGAGTTCAGAGAGCCTGGGTTGGCCGTGGAGCCCCGGGAAGCTCTGGAGGGAAGCTTGGAATATCAACACCCCACGCACCGCCTACCCTCCCTCCTGGGGCTTCTGACTTACTGACAAGCTAGTGAACAGGCTTTTGTACGAGCTGCGACATGTGCAGCCTCCCTGATCCTCCAGCCTCTGCACTGCCCATCTTGACTTGCCTCAGGTAAGGATCTACAGGCACAATGACACCCTGGGGGAACAGGGGGACATTGCTATCCTTCAAACCAGCACGGAGTGTGCTTGCCACCCTCCTTCCCAGTCCTGGATAAACCTCACCAGGCGCCTTGGAGCTGATGAAGCATCTACTCACAGCCAGGTGGGCGGCAGCTTCTTCAGCAATGAGATTGTCTTTTAAATTCTGCAGTTTCCTCCATAGAGCGAATGGTGGAATGGTGTCAGTCTTAGTCGCCGGGGCCTCCAGGAGTTCTGTGTCTGCTACTGAGTGGGGCCCAGATGTGAGTTCCTAGGGACGCTGCTAATCATTCGGGATGCCCACAGATTGTTTTCCCTGCTCTTAATCACCAGGTATGGAGCCCACAATTGGCACCATTTTTCTCCTCTACCTTCATGTTGACAATTGCCCCCTTCAATTCAGAAGATGCATCCTAAGAGTGATCGCAGGGACACTTCTACACTGGTGACCACAGCTGACTGGAGGCAACCTGTTGACACTAGTACTCAAAGGAATCTGTGAACACTAGACCAAAGGAGAGAGGCTCGAAATGCAACACGAGACTGACTGCCTTGGAGTCAGTTTGATTCTGATTCTCTCACTTAGGATGCAATACCCAGCACAGACCCTTCGGATGACAGACTCCAAAGCCACTCTCAAACCCTCACTCTTGCTTTTTAGTTATAGAGGACAGACAGCAAGATACTCATCTTTTTGACTTCCTTTGTGATCAGTTATAGCACTGTGACCTAATTCAGGCCACTGAACATTTATGTGGAGGTACCTACAGAAGGCATCCCTTCAAGTAAGCGCTCACAGGTTGTGGAGAAATTTATTTTAGCCTTCCTGTCTCCTGCCAATAATGTAGATGTGATGGCTGGAAGTGGATTAGCCATCTTATAACCATAGGGAGAAAAACATAAAAACCACAGGCTACAGGTGTTGGGAAAAGAAGCGAGAAGGGGTCTAGGTTCTGCAGGAGCTCTGACCTCTGGATTTAGTCCTGCATGAGGAAATAAAACCATCATTGTGTGTTCATACCACCGACATGGGGATCTTTATTACTTGTAGCAGAAACATTACCTGGTGACATAAATATTCCAGTATGAGAAAAACCATTTCCTGGGGTGAACCCTCTGTGGTCTGTATGTACAGCAGTCCTCGTGGGCCATTTTCTCCTGCCAGCTGGGCCAGGGAAACACCCTCCTGACTCGGGCCTCCCCTGTCTGCTGAGAGCTGGCTAGAAGCAGGAAGAACTCAAGGTCTAACCCCAGAAACTCAGGTCAAACTCTGACTCTGGAATCACAGGCTGTGGGACCCTGAGTGATTTTTGAGACTGTCGGAGCTCCACCTTTATTTTAAACAGTGTTACCTAATACATTTCTACAGAGACTGTTCCCAGCATGTGCTAATACATTAAAAACCCTCATCTTACGTCTTAGTCACTTATTTTGGAGGGTGGGTGGATCCTGGGAATTGATCTCGGGGCACACGGCCACTGAACCACATCCTCAAGCCTATTTTGTATTTTATTTAGAGACAGGGTCTCACTGAGTTGTTTAGTGCCTCACTGAGTTCCTGAGGCTGGCTTTGATCTTGTGATCCTCCTGCCTCAGCCTCCCAAGCTGCTGGGATTACAGTTTGGGGCCAGCACACCCGGCCGGCCCCTTATTTCCTTTTTTAATCCAACATTTCATACACACATTTATGCATAATATATACATACATGGTAATATATGTAGCCTACAGTAATATTACATTATTTTAATAATTTTTAAAATTTTGACACTTTGTTTTCTGGAGCACGTCCTGCAGCGTGCCTGCCTTTGGCTTGACATAGCGTGAATCACGGCTTCTATGAGACACTAATTCACAAGACACCTGCCTAAAAATGCTCTGTGGTCAAATTAAATCTGGCACTGTCTCTTCTTGATGCAGATTGACAGTCACATTAGTGTGCGGCTGGCTAGGCCCTCCCTACAATAACAACAACAAAGAGAGTCTCACTCACGCACCAGCTTTGCAGATCATTAACCCAGACTCTCACCCCGAGTCAGGGCCCTGCAGCCCACGCTCCTCAGGGAGACCTGGGTGGGAAGTGCCTTCCAGAGCAGCGGTGTGGGAAGGGCGGGGGCGTTCTTTACCTTAGAGAAGCCCAGTTCACATGCTCAGCCAGTGACCCAGGTCAATGTGGCCAGCGGACGTCGTGCTGTTGGAGTGCGCCTGTGGTCAGATGAAAAAAAACAGCCCAAGTCCCCTCCTTAGGCTTCCTCCCCAGCACCACAGACCCCTCACCATCGTGAGAAGAGCACTAAGGGAATCGCAGCAAGGGCAGAGCCTATGAGACCCCTGCCAGGGCCCCTCAGAGCTATGGGCGTCCAAACAGGGAGACCTGAGGGACAGCCATAGCCCTGAGGAGCCGGGGAGGCCTGACAGCCAAATGCCACATGGGTCATAAGGACTTTGGATAAACATGAAGGAAAGTGATCATCGGTGGCAATGGTTAGCAGCAGCACATCAGAGGTGGCTTCTTAATGGTGACAAGTGTGCAGTACTGCTGCAGGAGTTTGCTGTTGGGGACCCCAGCCAGGGAGGCCAGCCAGGGAGGCCAGCTGAGGCTCACATGCATGCACTCTGCACTACCTCCTGATTTTTCTATGAATTCAAGACAGTTGGCTTTGAAAAGTGTATTTGATTTAAAATGGATTTGATATCATTTAATCCAACATGTGCTAGGTGTATTTAAATGTGGGCTTTTCTTTTTTTTTTTCAGAAGCTCTATACATATCCTATGGAAAACAGTTTGGAAAGTTATTAGCTGGAGGAAACGTTTTTCTAATGAGCATTCTTAAAGTAGTTTTTGACTGTAAACGAAACATCCAATGTTTTACTGCTGCCAATTAATTTATTAATTTAATTGCACATATATATTTAAAGCATGATTAAGAGACTATAGCAAGTTCAAAATACCACCTTTTCCCTCTGAGGTTTTAATGACAGGATTTTATTCAGGCAACTCTGGGGATCCCTTGGGATTGCACGTCCTCCCTGTGCAGCTCACAGTGAGCAGACCTGCCTCCTCTCCTTCCTCCCCCCTCCCCCACCCCTCCCCTACCCATCCTCCTACCCCCTCCTATCCCCCTCCCCCTCCCCTTTCCCTCCTCCTCCTCCTCCCTTTCTCCCCCTCCTCCCCCTCCTCCTCCTCCTCCCCTCTTCCTCCTCCTTCTGGCCCTCTCTGTCATTCCTTGTCTTATAAACACATCCCAGCTCTGACATCATCTTCAGGTGACGGTGATGTTGTGTGTGTGTGTGTGTGTGTGTGTGTGTATTCCCAAACCCCCTGGTCAAAGCTGGCAGGCCAAGAGCCAAAGCAGAGCTCCTTTCCTCGGGTGGGTGTCCTTGCAGCATCTGTCCGTCACCCTGTGGGGACTGCAGGTTTCCCTGTGGGGTCCTATTCAGTGCAATCAGCAATCTCCACTCAAGGACTCAGCTGTCACCCACCTTCAAGCCCCCTGGTGTCGCGACCCCTTGCCCGCAAGGAAGACGCAACTCAGGAATCTTCTTTCAGCAGTTTATTCAGGCCCTTGATATTTCTTCTTTTCTCTCTCGGATGCCCCTCCCAGCCTTAATAAAGCATCTCAAGCCCCAATGCGAAGCTGCCACGTGGAGCTTTCTCATAGGGTGGTGAAAAACCATGCACCAACTCTCCCAAATAAGGAGTTGTTTGTCACAGACCACAGCGGAGCCAGCGCCATCTTGTAATGGCGACCGTAGTCTGCAGAAACGGCAGAAGCGGCTCACCACAGTTCCCCCTTTCTGTTTTCTTAAAACAATACAGGCAAGAGTAAAGGTCCTATCCCACTGTGCAGAAGTGGCTGCATAGTATGGCTCAGTCCTAAGGAGGGCCCTTCCCCAGATCTGAGGCCATATCAGCCGACGCCTTTTTTCGTGGGGCGGGGCGTGGACGCGTCTAACCCGCATGCAATAGGACATGCTCTCCTTGAGGTCCACGTCAAGGATCACTCAAGTGCAGTGCCTTGCCTCGCATCCTGTATCGTGACGATGGTGGACGAAGGGGGATAGCTGAGGCTGAACTGTGGCTGTTTATAACGACAAACAAGTTGACAGCACCCTGAAAGAAAGGCACGGACTTTAAGGTGATAGAAAAGCACTAGTGTGGAAACCCATCTGCGTGCAATGGCAGTAAGACCGGCAGAGTGCAAGGGCTTTCCAACACTAAGAGAATAACAAGGAAAGTCATGTCGATCCCAGTGCAATGTTATAATAACTTGGGGTGTAACGACCATGACAAAGGTTTACTGCTTAAGATGCGCAAGCCAGAATTGAGGCGAGTTGCCATTTTCTAAAGCTGCAAGAGCTTGTATGATCATAGCCTTTTCTTGTGCATGGCGAGTTTTAAGGCGACAGAGAAGCCACAAACAAAGCACAACACTGAAGCAACACATTGCACCAAAAATGCCTACTCCCACCCATTCTTTGAAGAAGGAAAAAGCAGAAGATATCCAATCGGTGAATTGACCCAAAGTCACTGGTTCGACACGGGTACTATTCAAAACAGCAATCTGAGTTAGTTGAGACTGGATCAAGTTTTCTGCTGCCATGGACCAGGTTCCGGATAGATACTCTCCGATGATGCGGGAGGCATTTCTGGAATTATTAAATCTGACAGAGGTTATACATAAATGTGCACGTTGGTCAACACAACCCAAAAGCACCAAGTCTGCCAATTCTTCTACCTGAGCTTGGAGTAAATCTATTCTTTGGTTGGCAGCTAAAATCCCTGACAAAATATGTTGATTAATTGAATTTTGGGACTCAAGTATGGTAGAAGTTTGTTGAACAACTTGATTAATGGTGGCAGCAGTTTGTACTTGACTGGCCATGGCCACTCCGGCCGTAACCGCTGCAGCAGCAGACACTGCCACAGCTGTCACTATAGCTGCCGTAATTCCAAAATCCCTTCGGACTCTAAGTAGCTCAACAATGGGGAATTTATCTGGGTCCGCAGTGACTGGGATTGGGACAAAGGTTGGAATTTTCATAACCACTGCTACAGTCCAAGAACCATTCCAACACTCAGATAAGAGACAGGTAACACTAGAACAATCCAGCATCCCCGACGAGGTGTCATTAGCCAAAAGGAGCAAGAATGGGGATTGGACGCAGAACATTGCAGGGGGCAATGTGGCATTATATAGCAAAGAGTTGAACAAAACAGATGTAAGTCTATTACCCCGTTCACTCTCCCGAACAGTACCAGAAACATTAGCCAGCCAGCTTCTGACTCCCAGCAATTGAGCCAATGCAGAAATATCAGCTGAAGCCCCCTTCTCATTGGAAATCAGCCATTGAAACCAGGACCAACCTACTCCTGTAGAGGAGTTGGCACTATGGTTAAAGTTATAAACATACCTCTTAAGAGAGGGGGAAAAGGAGAAACCCTTAGCAACTTCAAGTCTCTCCCAAGAATGATCCTGACAAGGCGTAAATGTTGGGGGGAAACCAAGATTAGGGGTACAGTAAGGAGAGGCCTTGAAATGAGTGGCATTGTAAGTACTATTAGAAGAAGGAGGCACTGGGATTAGTACCTTGGAGATCATAGCCAAGGTAGTTATGTTTAAAGCAGAGCTATTTACAGGGGTCCCTGAACCTGATTGCTTCCCTGAAACTACTTGGCTCAGTACGGCATTAATAATACTCCCTGAGACCTGATTGGACCGCAATGGGTCCTCCCAATTAGTCAAATTTTTGGTCTTAAGGCTGATGCAATTAGCGTTTCCAAGGCTGAAACAAAAAACTCCTGTAAGATTAACCTGAGATTGATTAAAAATGCTCTCCACGTCCCCTCTAGGAGAGGCACAGGGAGCAGACATCTCACATGAGGTAGAGAAAAGAGTGGGGAGGACACTAGAACTACCATGAACCGGCATCGGCATTGGCCAAGCCCGTGCCACTGCCCACCACTGCATTGGTGTCGTCTGTGCCATCGGCACCAGCACCAGAACCAGAGCACGTAGCAGAGTGAAGATCCTCATCACAGGGTTGCTGTGGTATCTCTTGTTGTTGGTCGGTTGATGTCAAGACTCTTCTTGTCAGACGTTCAGGGACCCACAACGGCTCCGTGCGATCCTGGGGAAAAACACATCCTCGTGCCCATGTCAGCACGGGGTCGGGGCCGTTCCATTGGCCCGTAAGAACATCCTTCCACTTAACATAGCCAATCACAGAGGGCTGAGGGGACACATGTCTATCGGCCACAGAGTGACCATGAATATCCAAATTCAAAAAATTAATGGTAAAGAGAGCTAAGGACAGGCATTCTTTAGGAGTGTGTTCAGCTCCTATTCCCCCTTTTTGTTTTTGTAAAGTTTCCTTTAAGGTGCGATGAGCACGCTCAACAATGCCTTGTCCTT